TGGGACATGCCCATCCACCTACTGCTTCAATGAACGATGTAGGGGTAGGCTGGAAGAAAGCTAAGTGAGGCCAGACCAAAACATGACACACATCTATTAATTCAGTGACAAATGGACTAAGCCGTGTTGGTAGGCATAGACAACCAGGCCGCGGTCCACAAGACAATAGTAATCGATGGTTAGAGATTTTGGATGACATGTCTGTAAATCGTTTGCAATGGCGCAGATGCATCCACTCTTTGTGTTCTCTCAAATTCTAATCTCTTCTTTATTCCTCATCAACTTTATCTTTCTCATTTTTTAAATTTATTTCACTGGATTATACTCCTTGAATAACATCTTCAAATCCTAATCTTCTCCATTACCACTAATACCTTCTACTATCTCTACAACTCTGAGGTTTGAATTGACAGTTGCATCTTCGTGCTAATGTGGTTGGTTCAGCATCTTGAACTGAAGAATGTACAAAGTTCTACTCAGTAGCTGACAGAGTGACTCACTGATTTACTGGACAAGCGTATAGTAAACATGTACATCTTCCGCTAAATTTTAAGATTACAAATTATCATCCTCAAAAATTTTTAACAGCACTTACCCTCCATATATATATAATTTTATCCTCATTCTCGTTGTGTTTTTTTTTGTTCAAGCTAATATAGATAATGGAACATACTATACAGCTACATTCACTATATGTTTTCCATATACCGGTGATGTTTGTTATCTTGCCTATCATTATCCTTATACGTATACACGTTTATTAAGTGATTTGAATAAATGGCGCAGTCAATTGTTAACTTATCCAAATAATATTTATTTTCGTATTCAACAATTAACTACCACTATACTATCGAATCCAGTGCCTTTAATGACAATCACTCAACTTCCAGATTCTTCAGGTAAGTGTAGTTATCAATTTGAAATGAGTTTGTGAGAGAAAACCATACTTTTAAACTAAGTCAGGCAATACTGAACAAGAGTTTCATTCTATGAAAGCAGTCCAAATCGGCAGTAAGTATTTGACGATCCCACCGAGTTAAGAATCAGAGACTTTTATGCCTCACACTGTGAATGTGAGACCATAGATCTGACTGACATCCAATGGTGAAAGTATTTTCTAAGTAACCACTTTCCATATATGACAGTGTGTTGCACTCTATTGGTTACGATTTCTTGTTAGATTGTCAAGGATTGTCATTTGTCAAAATTTTTCACTACTGAAGACATAAAAAATAATTGCACAATATTGTGCATAGTTTGACGTGACTAGCGAAAACCAATAAATGCTAACCAAGTGGTATTTATAGGTTAATAAGCTCACATTATTAGAACTGAAGATTCTAAAATTAAGAGTACTACTCATTGTCACTTAAGGAGTCCGCTATTAAGTGCAAACAGTCGTTCAGTGCTTCATGATTTTAAATGAGATTATCTAACTAAACTGTTGGGGACGTTAGATCTCCAAATCTCGCTTGATAAATGCCCTAATTTTGGATTTCGTGTTTGCGAACATGCGCTGATCGATTGACCTTGAGATTTCATTTCCTACCTGGAAAATCCATGGCTGTGATTGGTTGCTGTGTATTTTAGTGTGGTATTTTTGTGACTGTCCCAATGATGTTTCTATGATGTGTAAATAAACGAGAGTTGTGTGCTTGATTGTATTGTGATTGCTGGTAGTTTGTAGAATATACTTTCTACGCTTACCAAGACTTCTAGTTTACAGTTTGGGATTCAAGGTAGCCTACCTGGACGCTGGTTGATTGTCTCGTTCGCGTTTATCAACTAAGGTGAACCCGTAATTAGCTTCAAGCATACCTAGTAACGAACCCAACATAAATTCATTTTGCGATGTAAACTATATTTTTATTGATTCATATTTAAGCCTTTTGCCTCTAATGGAGCATAGGTCGCCGAACAGCATTCACCAACCTACTCTGTCCCCCACTCTCCTTTTCACTTTTACCAGATTGCTATTCATTACTTTCATGTCTGCTTCGAATACTCAGCAAAATATGATCTTGACTCTTGCGATCTCCTACACTGTACAAACGTTCCCTGTACCTGTATTAATGGTTACTCTGGTTATCAGAGGAGACATCGACCTCATGACTTCCGAAGAAACTCGACTTTCATTATGACATGTCGTAACTCTTCAGAATGTAGACCTTCCAACTGCCAATGCACGAGTTCACATGTTTTGAATTATCGTTTCTGGTTAGAGTTTTTTAGCAGGTTGGTTTTCTATTAGATGAGTTCGCCAACGCCAAGCCCAACCCTTCTCCCTTATCCGGGCTAACAGGATCGACAGTAACCCCAGAAAGGCTCCAGGCGGATTTATTTGTATTTATTGTATACTTTGTCATTATTTACGAACTTTTTTTTTGTATCTAACTTAGAAGACTCAACTAGTATAAATCAACGTCCTTACATTATGCTTACATGTCGTGTACATCCCGGTGAATCGAATTCTAGTTGGATAATCAAAGGTTTACTTGATCAACTTCTCTCGTGTAATGACGAGAAAATCAATGAATTACGTAAAATGTTTATTTTTAAAATTATACCAATGTTAAATCCTGATGGTGTTATTGTTGGAAAGTGAGTAGTGCAGTTTTCTGATTGTTGTTTCTTGTGTTCATGACAACTTTGAATTAAGTTGACTTTCATTTATAAAAAAGTGTGCGCTATCAATTCGATTAATTTTGATTGTTTTCAGTTTACAACTAACTAACTGACCTGATGCACAAGAGATCACTATCAATCGGAAGCGGCTAATTTATCACCTCTGTTTGATTTAACTTCAGAAAATTCATTTGATTGAATACATAAACCCATAGGTGTACAGTGTATCCGAAAAATAAGAAATTTACAACTGTGACACATCTAGAAAGCGAAAGTGTTAGTCAGCTAGCACGTAGAACTTGGCGCATACGTATATCAGTTCAAGTCGCCCTACCACATTAGCACACAGAGATCAAATTGTCATCTAATAGTAGATGAGGTTGTATCCACATTAGCGGTAATGGAAGAGATTAAGGTTCAAAGATGGAATTCGAGAATTTATATCTCAATGGAATCAATTTAAAAAACGAGAATAAGATAATGTTGGTGAGGAATTTAAGAGAAGACAAAATCGAAATATTTCGAGGACATAAAATACTTTTAGGAACAGTTTAACATGATTACTGATGTCGCCTGTGATTTGGCAGCGTGATTAGTAGATTACATGCGTTGTATTGAAACCCATGTAACAGAGCTGTAATCATAGTAGAACAGTTGTATAATCACTCACTGTAGTTCCATCATATTCGCTTATATTTTCAGAAGAATCAGTGATCTATTTACCAATCGATACAGACAACTGTGAGTAACAGCTAAAATCTTAATGCCTATAGATTATTGAGCACCTTCTAACCCCCCCTCGCGTCTAATCAGAAGATGAAGATAAGAAACAGATCACTTCCTTGTTGTGTTTAATTCAATGATGACTAAAGAATGACCAAAGAAAACTCACAAAGTAATATTATTTGAAATGTTTGGGCATACAGCAACACAGTTGATGGATTAATCAATGTGTACCTAGCTTAGTCATAAGTTTCATTGAAATCACCAGTCGATCAATCAATGTTAAACCACCACTATTAGAAACCTGGAAGCACTGGACGGGGTTCGTTTCGTTCTAGTATGGGACTTGTCAGTAGAAGTGCATGTCCTTGACCTTCGCACGCGCAAAGCAGACTCATGTTCTCCGGTGTCGTGTGTGAACGCTTAACCTCTAGACAACTGAGCCGGTGTCCAGCGGTGTTCATAGTTAACTTCAGTCCTTCCAAGCTATTAACCAACCTCATCTTTTGTCGTCAAAGAGTAACTGCATCACATTTGACAGGGTTGAACTAGTGAGCACACTTTTATGATTCCACATCATTGAGTGTCATTGAAATCATGATTCGAAATTGTGATTCACAACTAGAGTAATGAAGGAATAAATAGAAGATTAAAGAATCCCATTGTGAAAATTAGAACAACACAGATATAAGCGAACAATTATTGTTGTTTTCGATTAGATCGTCATCAGCGTATTTACTCTCTAATATACATGAATATTTATATGAAAATGTTACACCGATCAAGGCAATTTGAATCAATTATCACAATGAAATGAAATAAATTACGTAAGTACACATAATAGGTAAAAGTACAAGTTGATAGTGGAAGAAGACAGGTGTACTGATAGTAGTAATAAGAAAAATCAAATACGATAACAAAAGTTCTAGTCCATAGGTCAACATTAGGAGTAGTAGTAGTAGGTGAAACTTGGATAAATAGACTTAAAATAATCATTACAAAACATTCACACCATTACGTAATAAGAAGTGTGTACATAATGAGATAGTGAAGAAGAATATAAATGGGAAGAGGCAGAAAATTACCAACAAATACCAGGATGTGAAAATAATGTTAATAATAACAAAATAAAATTTAAAAATTTTTAAAGCATTGGTCAAGTCATATCCGGTCACTGAAGAGATAGGGGTGTCACGAATTTATTCTGAACATATAAATTGAGGTTGAATGTACGAACCCCAATGGCTTCTGCTATGTGTAGGAGACAGGATCGAACTCCATTTGAAAATGATTGAAGTATACGATAGATCATTCGAAATGATCCGGATTTATCTACAATATGACCACTTTCAACCAGGTGTACTAAGATAAAACTGCGTATTGTTTTTGACTGACCCTTCTCAAACCATGCTGAGAGATGTTCACTCATCCGTTTGTTAAGTTGCCCGGTAGTTAGTATGCCCGATATAGCTATCTCCACAGGAGCAGCTGAATTTGTAAATGCAAACAGAGTAGGCCAACTCAGGTAACTTATCCTTCGTTTGAGTAGACATCGCTGGTCCATTGGAGAAGAGCGACGCAAGTTTGACTGCGTAGAATGTCCTACTAATTACTCTCGTTCATCTGTCCTGCAGAGTATCGCTAGCCACATCTCCGTTGAACTAATTTAATATTTATTCTGTCTAAATAGTAGATACTGTTACGCCTGCACGTAAACACGTCATTTTCATATGATTAAACTATTACGAGTTTACCTAGACGGAAAACGAGAGCGAAGATCGAGGATCCGGCGACACGACATGCTACTCAGATCCGATTATCCCAACCCCCATATTGAGTAAAAATAAGAAAACTTGAATGTGAAGAAAAACGTGTATTCTACAAGTATCCAGGAAGTACAAGGTCCGAGTCCAGAAGAGAATCAAGATGCCGGACTAGGGATCCGGGACCGGGTCCTTGTCCTGGTTATAAAACGTTACAGATAATGCGTATTTATACATTTAGGTTGAATAAGAAACAGCATTTGAAGTGACATTGAAATTCAGGACAACTAATAAGAAACTACATTGGAGCATGTGACATTGGTATCTAGGACGACCATAAAATTGACCAGTAGGAATTAACCAATAGAAATTGACCAATAATTCTCTTAGGATATTGGATGAGTATTCTAACAGATACACATTCTATTCTCTTTACTCCCTTTTGTTTTCTGTCGATTAAGTCATCGATGTTCAATAGCTGGTAAAGATTTAAATCGTCATTGGATCGATCCGTCACCTGTAATTCATCCAACTATTTATCATACGAAAATGTTAATGCAATTTCTCTCATTCTGTGAACGTTCACCTTATGTAAGTTTTGTTGTTTTACTGAATGTAAGTCTGTTTATTTCAACTTATATGCACATTTCTAGCATATATTGACGAAAATCAATTGAAGCACTTCATCCCGCTACAGACAGACACGTCAGTGGTTACTTTACTTTACTTACGCTTGTTATACGTAATGGAGAGCACATAGGCAAGCAAACTATTATCCTTCAACCCTACTCTATCTTGGATCTTAATATTCTAGTTCTATCTAATTGATGTTCAGTCTTTTAATATTGTCTGCTTCTTATTCTCAGCGTGGTGTGTTCTTTGATCTTCTTCCTTTCCTTTGGCTTCAAGGATTTCAGTTGAGGGCTTGTCTTCTGATGAAGTTTTGTGATTTCCGTAATGGATGTCCTATACCCCTCCCAGTGCTTTTTATTAATTTCTTCCTCCGCTGGAATCTGGTTTATTCTCTTCCACGGTAGATGGTGTGTGGCCAATAGATCTGAAGTATCTTTGATAGACAGATGTTAATGAATACTTGGATCTCGTTGTTGATGGCGCTGGAGCCTGAGGTTACTGCCAGCCTCAAGCCCAGATAAAGGAGGAGGATCAGGCCTGTGGTTTAGCGACCCCATTTTGTAGAAAACTAACTCGTTAAAAAAACCCTATGAATTGTTTACGTCTGTATTTCAACTGCCATACAATCTTTCGACATCAAGATTTTGTAATATAGAGAAAACTTTGATGTTACTCAATTGTACAATTAATTGTTCATTGAATATTGAACTATACCTTGTATATTAAGTCCTTCTTACTAACTATGATCGAATGCTATTAATTGTCTCGTCTAATTGACTCATCATCGCGTACATTATGATCAAATGTTAGCCAGTGGTTGAAAGCTAGCCAGTTACTTTCAGTCGCTTTACAATTGTTATCGTTCTGTATGATCAACAAAAGATGACCGGTTTATACTTTGTATTATAGGGTTTTGATTGAGATTGTACAGGTTTATTGAAAACATGAGCGAATAATTGTTAGACCACTATTAGAAACCTGTAAGCGCTGGACGGCCGTCTCGTCGTAGTATGAGAGTCATCAGTAACAGTGGCATCCACAACTCGCGCTACCCACAGGAATCGAACCCAGGACCTTCAGTCTTGCACATGAACGCTTAATCTCTATACTACTGAGCCGGTATAGTACGATAACACTGTGTAACTTTGATCAGTGCATGATCTAGTGCAACTTCATCCACTGTCTTTGGTAGGCATCGCTTGATACTCAACATGGATGAATTCCACTAGTAACTACTTCTCACTAGTAGAAAACTCGATGAAATTTCATCACGAAACTACTCACTAGTGAGTACATGGTAATTTAGGGGTTATGCGTTCGCGTGTGAAACTGAAGGTCCTGAGTTCGATTTCTATGCAGGTGGGTTCTGGAAGCTCACTGATGAGGAATGCCGTCCAATGCTTCAAAGTTTCTAACGAAAGGGTCTAACATTACTCGGTTTATGATCTCAGCAATCCATCTAAGCGAAATTTATTATTCAACTAAGAAATATTTATTCGATGGCTTTATATTCAAGTTGTTTTGAACTAATAAATATGTGACATTTCATTAGTAAGTCAATATTATCTCAACCTATCTGAGTTATTTTATATTCCGCCCTTTTTGCTTTTCCTTATGCGTGTGTGTGTGTGTGTGTGAATGAGTAGATTTTCATTGATTTCCATGGTCATTCACGTATGAAGAATATTTTCTTATATGGATGTAGTCCAACTGAATCATGGCAACATCCAGATATACGAAATCCAGCTTATCGTGGTCCAAATCAATCGGAAGATAATTCCTATCGTGTATTAGCTGATATTTTAGATCAATTATCACCATATTTTTCAAAAAAATCATGTTTGTAAGTTATTAATTTTTTCTTAGTGTGTGTTTGTTTTTATTTATAAAAATTGAAGATGTTTGTGAATATGGTTGGAATTGTTTTTGAAGGTTACATCACGGATCAACCTTAGATATATATAACCATTGAAAAATCACTTAGCTTGCTGTGAGTTATCTACGACCACCATCCGAAAGGAATTAAGTTTAAAACCATGGAGTTTCACTTGACTTTTGAATCATTGAAGCGCTATTCTGTTATCTAATGTTGCACCGTAGACTCGTCGTTTGGTTAATGGACGGATATCTCGCCTACGTCATGAATGATACTAGGTGACAAAAGCCAATCGAGCTTTCTGTATCCGTGCTGAGATTTTGTCAGTCACCAGGCCATCAGCACCGATGATACTCCCAGTAAAAATGGAAGCAGTCTACACCTTCGACTACTTCACTCCCTATCACTTGTTTAGGTGTCGATGCAACCCAATCTTGAAGCGACCTTTTGCATTTCGAAGGGGAAACCTCATCCCAGAAATGCTTGCATTGTTGCTTAGGGTGGTCAGAAGACTCTGCATTTTCTCAGCGGCTTCACCGAATAGAACTATGTCATCGGCATATTCTAAGTCAACCAATAAATCTCTTGGTAAAAGGTCTACTCCTGAAAATTCAGATGAAGATAATGTTATATCTAGGAGCATGTTTATGACAAAATTGAAAAAGAATGGGGATAGTGGACAGCCCCGACGGACACCACTTGAAGTAACTAATGCCGATGACAGTTCGCCATAAGCTCTTACTCGGCCAGTCGTGTTCGAGCAAAGAGCCTGTATGAGGTTAATGTACCTCTCTGGCACTACCACAGGACCCCACAATCAACAGAGTCGAATGCCGCTTTAAGGTCCAGGAAGACAATTATTGTCGGACGCCTGTATGTGTGTCTATGTTCCAGGACCTGTCGTAGTGTGAATATGTGGTCTATACAACCACGTCCAGGTCTCACACCAGCCTAGTTTTCTCTAGTCTACTCTTCATGAGCTCTAGTTACACATGGAAGTATTATTGTATTTCATAACTTACACACTATAACTGTACATAAGTTTGTTTTTCTAATGTCCATTTTTGTAATATTAATAATCAGCATTTTATGAATTTGTCGAAAACTATGTTAGTTCAATATTCAATCTCATAAAAACTGAAATAAATATCATGGTTTCTTTTTTTCCCTTTCTTTATCTTTGATTATTTCATAAATAAGTCTTTTTTTCTTCGAAAATTTAAATTATCTGTTCAATCATTTGTGTGTGTGTGAGATTTATTCATTATGATGATGTTGTGTATTGTATGAAGTAGTTTCAATGTGTCAATTGAAAATTGAACAATTTATGTTTCTGTATTTATATATATATATATATATGTTTAATAATTCTGTTGGTTTGGTTATGTGTGTGTTTGTTGATGTTTATGAATTTATATGATGATGTATAAAGTAAGGTTAGATGTAGACTAGTTTTAGGTCATAACCATATAATGAATAGGAAATGTTTTTCATCCTAATCAGTGAACAGTTGCGAGCGATTATCGATCTGTTGGTTGATTGATTGATTGATTGTGGTGATTGCATTTCGTTCTCTGAGCTGAATGTTTTGGTTGTCGAACTTTCAATGCTGTTTACTTCTGAACAACATTAACATCAGCACAAACTTCAGATAGAACTGAATGAAGTATTCGAATTTCTTTATGTGCATGACCCGTAGCTTGTTTTGTTGACCTCGCAATCTTGATTGGTTGTTGTTGACCTTAAATCTGTGGTTGTTTGCACCGTTGTTTTGATTTTATCCTCCCCATTCGATCTGTTTCTTGATCTTATGTTTGCTTATGATTTTTCTGATTGGTTGATAAACTGGGTTGGGGCAACTTGAACTGATGTGCGAAAGTACGAAGTTCTACGTTGTAAATGACTGACTGACTGACTGATAAATTGGGTCATTGTCGATGATTGCTGATTGATGATAAACTGGGTTGGGGCAACTTGAACTAATGTGCGAAAGTACGAAGTTCTACGTTGTAAATGACTGACTGACTGACTGATAAATTGGGTCAATGTCGATGATTGCTGATTGACCTGAATGCCAAGCTACTATTGAAATTAGATATAAACATCTTTAGAGGCTGGCTCATTTCGGTCTTAGAGGTTAGGTGTTTTTGTGTGCGAGAGACTAAAGCCCTCTGACTTTAGATTCTTGCGTGCAGGATTTCGAATAAGCATTTACCATTGATGAAATGTCCATCTAATGCTTTCGGAATTTCAATAACAATCTAAGATCAACTTGTAATTCCAAACAGTTGCCTTGTTCAGTTTGTCTTTGCCTTTGGATATCTTCTCTAAGGATAAAACTTTATAGTCACTTTTATCTAAAGTTTCGAAATTCCTACAAAGTCATTGAATTTCACAGCCAATCAATCAGCAACAGCGTAGAACATCGTACGTACGTACGTATATCATTTGCAGTTGCCATACCACATTTACAGAGAGCGATGGGAATGTCAGTTCAAATCCCATAGTCGTAGAGGTAATGGAGGTATAAGTGGTAATAGAGAAGATTAAGGTTTGAAGATGTCATTCAAGAAATATTATCCGCTGAAATGGGTTTAAGAATGGATGCATGAATGCTACTGCAAACGATTTTGAGCTATGTCATTCAAGGTCTCGTGGACACCAACTAGGTACATTGAATTTCACAAGTTTCATTTTAGTCTATGAGGATAGACTAGGCTATAATCTGAAACATATCACAGCCTATTCTCATAAATTATCTGAAATCTGAACAATAAAGTAGAAAAGATAAGAGTGAAACACATTGGTTTATGAAGCCAATTATGTATTTAGTAAAACGTTTTATCGTGTGCACATTTTATTCGGTTTATTAGTTAGAATCATTTTTCAGAAGTATTTTGAATTATGATGTCTGGCTGATTATGTAAACTTCGCAACTACGTCTACTCACAGACTGAACTAGATAGAGCGTTGTCATATTGTAGAATAACTAGCTTTTAGCACCTATCAGTCAGGTCGTAATGTCGGATTTGTGTTTGAAACTTGACTATATTCAAATATTCCTAAATTTTTACGACTATCAATGAAAATTAAGGCTTTGAATTGTGATCACCCTGTGTTAGTGGGATGTAGATTGAATTAAAGCATGATTGCGTTGTTGCACGTTGATTGGCTCTTTTCATATCCAATCAGCGCAAGTCGATACTGAGAGAACATTCTAGAATCTTCTCATGTAAGAAAACTATGAATATACTAACGTCTTTTTCCCTAAAGATCTTCTGTCTTCCATTCCAAGACTTGTTACTGGAATATAAATCTCTTTTCCTGTCCAACCGTGTTCTGACTGGGAAGAACGTCACGAGTGAATTGGCGTCCGAGAATGCCAAGCATTAGGAATAGCTGGGAAGTAATAAAGGGAGATTTATAACACCCAGTCAACGATTTAAGCTTGAATCGTTCAGATATGCCACTGAGTACAACCACTACGACAACTTAGCAGTTTCATGTTTAGTCTTCTCACTTCTAACATCCGTATGAAGTATTGAATGATAAAGAGTGGTCTTTAAGCTCTGATCGCTGACTAATCTATCTAATAAACCAATTAGATTAAAGCAACTTGATAGCTTGAATCAGATAAATGCGAATCGATACACATGGAAATTATCATTGTGTTTTGCTTTTCCTGACAGAAATATAAACAGACAATTTTAAAACCAGGAAAACTGTAATTCGCATCTTTCACAATTACATTTATGATCTGACTTGTTTATAATCTGCTTATTTGACTGATTATCACTACGTATTCTTATTCATATTTGATGAGAAATGAAAATGGCCGATGATTCTGACTTTTATTCAAATGTTTTTGTGTAGGGTTCTGTTCTTAATACTGATGGGATAGAACATTTCTAGGCATTTTTTCTATGGCTTCTATAGACTTTAATCAAGGGATATTTGTGGGCTCTCGAACCGCCGATTCGTACTTACTTATTGTTGGGGACGTCTGGTCCCCAGAACTCATGCGATAAAAGTTGACTTTGAGATTAGATATCCCACCGGGAAAATCCTCGACTGTCATTGGTTGATGTAGTTGTTGTGGTACGCTATATTTTTGGCTCTCCCAAGGAAGTTTCTATCATGTATAAATTAACTCGATTTGTGTGCTTGTCAACCTCATATTTTCTGTGTGATTGTAGAATACACTTTCTACGTCTTGTCCAGACTTCTTCCTCTACTAAGTGGGGCCTTGGGACACTCGAATTAAAGTGGCCTACTGTGTGACTGTATCGTTTGTCTCCGCTCTCGTTAACCGACTGAGGTAAACTCGTAGTAGTTTCAGGCATATCAATTGACGAGCATAACACTTACGCCTGTTACCCCTAATGCAGCATAGACCACTGACTAGTATTCTCCAACCTACTCCGTCCCGCGCCTCCCTTCCCAGTTCTGTTCAATTTTTATTCATTCTTCTCATATCCGTCTCTATATCTCGATGTAATGTGTTCTTTGGTCTTCCTCTTCTCCGTTGGCTTTGAGAACCGTCGATTCTATCATCAATTATTTTGAAATGATTCTTTTCGGCCATTTCATTCGTATAATAATTAATTGCCAAATTATTTTTGTAGTTTAAATCGTAAAATAATATTAGCTAGATTACTGTCAAAACCCTAGGCATCTGTTTCACTTTATCATCACAGTTCGTTAACTTCAAGACCCTCTTTCCAGGGAATCGATTTGAGGACTTGTAGTCTAGCACACACACACACACTAACATTCAGCAGTTATAATCCTATCAATTCATTCATAAATATTGCTTACATATTGTCAATCATCTTATCTTTTCCTAACATTTCAGATATACAGTTCATAAAGCTAAAGAGACTACAGCACGTATAGCTGTTTGGCGACAATTCAATGTACTACGTTCTTATACAATAGAAGCATCATATTGTGGTATTTATCGTCAATGGCATGGAAATCAATTGGTTCAAACTAATACACAATCACAATCACAATTAGAACAACAAGTTAATAATAATAAAACTAATGACAATGAAAAACACTCGAATGAATCATCATCATCAATATCATCATCAGTAGCCATTGTACAACATCAAATCCGACCAATTGATTTGATGAATTTCGGTTCACAGTTGTTAAATGCATTTTTATTATTATTGTCATCATCATCATCAGGAGAAAACGGAGAAGTAGAAGAAGGAGAAGAAGAAGAAGAAACAGAAACAGAGAAATTAACATCAAATCCAAATAAAACATTCTCATCTATGTCGAATCGATCATCTTTGGAACACATACCACCATGTTTTGATGTTAATAATGAGGATGACATTTACAGGAATTTTCTGCCTCATTATGATGATGACGATGATGAAGAGTATGATGATGACGAAGAATATGATGAAGACTATGAAGATTATGATGGGGAGGAGGAGTATGAAGATGATGAAATCCATAATGATTACAAACACAATCATTACAATCATAATCATAATGATAATAATTCCAACAATGAACCACAAACACCTCTTGAACTAAATGAAAGCACAGAAGAATATCAATCTGAGCTGAAGAAGAATTTGCAATTGGTCAATGAAAGTGTCCCGCTACACACTTCTTCCATGCTGTTTACTTCGTTTACTGTAGTAAAATCAGATTCTATTCCTTGTTCATCATCTGATGATTCTTCATCTTCTTCTGTCACAAGTTTCTCCATAGATAAAAATTCTGATAGTGATTTAGACAAAGAATCCATCAATCATGGATGGAATGATGTTGGTGATGTTGGGAATGATAGTATGAACCAAGTTAAATTGTAAGGAAACGACATTTTCATTGAAATAAGATTGTTTCTTCATTTGCTCACATCATTTGTATATTTCTACATAATTTGTTTGTGTAACTGATTCGCAGTTGGAATTGACTGCTGGAAAACAAGCATTTCGTCAATAACAAAGAAAAAAAGGATATTTCATATTCCTCGAACCCAGGATGATAACAACACTTATGAAAGATTATTTTTTATTTTTGATCTTTATTTACAACCTACTTTTTTAATTTGTAAGTAGTAACAGTTCACTTCCTTATTATTTTAGACTTATATTGCCTGTTAACTCATATAATAGGACCACTTATTATATATATTTCACTAAATATTTGATGTATTGACTGACAAAATTCTTATGACCTCACATCACATCTATGTACAAATAATTTTATTCTTCTATTGAGTGAATGTTGCGTCATAAGTATTCACTGGTTCATCAATAAATAACAATTAGTTAAATCTAAACATACAGATGAGATTCACTGTAATTTCATTTTCAAAACGTACATTTTAATAACTCTTGTTACTTTGGCAGCCTATTCGAGAGACTGTACTACTGTTTTATTAATTTTTTTTAAATAATAATAATTATTATAAAGTGTACTGAATTATCTTCCGGCTGATAGCAGGTTTTGGTTGATTCCGGAAATGTGTAAGAACACTTAATCTCCATAACTGTGATTGAAAAAAGCGTACACTGTGCTCATTAGTGAGTTCAACCCTTTCGGATGTAGGCAGTAACTGCCGAAGACAAATAGGTGAGGTCATGAAAAACTCCTAGATTAGGTCAGAGTTAGACATTAACACCGTTGGATGCCGGACCAGTGGTCCAGAGGTTAGGCATCCACGCTCAAGACCGAAGGTTTCGAATTCGAATCCTGTGAGTGGTGGGATTCTTGGATGCTCATTGCCGATGAGTCGCATGATGGTACAAAACAGCCATCCAGTGCATCCAGGTTTCTAACTGTGGTTTAACAATGATTAATTTATGATTTCAATATGTACTAAAGAGGACCTTAAAATGTGATGTTGGGCATTGTTAACTGGTAATTTTGCAACCAGAATAATCAAAAAAGTTGGGGGAATATTATAAAAAACTGATGTACGCTTTAAAAGAAATTCACTGAATGCGCGGAAAATTTTTGATTGGCTGTAGGTGATTCAGAGACTCTAAATAACCGATCATTAGTGTTTACAATTTTATAGATACCGTCCTATCCAATCTTTCCTTGGAATATGATATACATTTCATATCATGAAACAAAACTTAAGTCCATCGTTTCCTGCTGACTGCCTTCAACTACCAATTTGGATGTACTACAAGTCACATAACGTGTAACTATCTGAACAATGAAAGATAATTAAAATGGGATAGTTGTTTTATCATCTAGAACTTTATCGCTACAACGTACTGTTAAAAATGCAACCCTGGTTAAATCTAAACATATAAAGACTAAAACGGTAACGAGGTGGGTTCGTTCTGAATGGACTGGAGGACCAAACCTTAATAAAAATAAACTCACGGTTTCTTCCAAGTGTGTGTAAATAGGCATCTCAAAAATAATATCCAAAACTAGAAATCATAGGTCTTTATTGAAAGTTTATTCTACTGGATATCGAACTGACTATGTTGGATTTGTAGACAGGGTGGGAAACGAACTTATTATTCGCCACATCTGGATGAGTATTATTTAAGTTAAGCTTTGGGATAGTCCTATTTCAAGTTGTGGTTTAGTATTTTGTCATGTAGTCGTTTTATACCTGAAATTTCATCTTTTTTATCCCTCTACTCATAAGCTTCTGTTTGAAGCGACAAACCTATCACTCAGTTATCTTCCATTTTTACTATCGTTATCTGCATGTTGTAATCCCTTCATAATTCTGATGTTTAATGAGAGTCTTGAACTACATTATTTTACGAATCACAAAAAACTCAAAGTGAAACTAAAAAATAACACTTCACGGTAACGCATACAGTACTACCGCATACGTTATAATTATATTTCATATTTTTACATTTTGTATGTTGAAAGGCCGGTTCGACTTTATAATAACCTTCTTTCTCCTCTATGATGCTAAACATGGTCCAAATAAAAGTCCTAATACGACTACATTACTGGCTTTTGATATGTATGTAGAGTGAGGTAGAACATACAACTCATGTTTCTACACGCATTCTTATTGAAATTTGTCGTGAAAATAAACCTTCTGATAGCTTAATACATACATTTATTACAGTTCTTTAATGTAAACTTTTAGTGTTAGAATGTATGTCCCTCCTGTCTGTACTCCGGTGATATTCTTTATTAACTATCGAAAAATTTCAGACTCAATATAAACTGAGAGCCAAGAAAATGAGTGTGATTTGTCATCCGTAGGAATAGATACAGTTATAATTGAAAAAGCTTCCCATTGTGAAAATTAGAACAACACATATAAGCGAACAATATTGTTTTCGATTAGATCGTCATCAGGCTTTACTCTAATATACATGAATATTTATATGAAAATGTTAAACCAATCAAGGCAATTTGAGTGATAATCACAATGAAATGAAAAAGATTACGTAACTACATCTAATAGGCAAAAGTTCAAGTGGATAATAGGAAAACAGGTGTACTGATAGTAGTAAGAAAATTTGTAAAATATGATAACTAAAGTAGGTCAAGGGTGGGTGAATAGAATTCAAATAATCATCAAAAACGTCAAAAACATTACGTAATAAGCAAATGTGTAAAAATAAAATAAAATAATAAATCAAAAATAATAAATTTGAATAGAGAAATAAGAAGACATATTTTGTGAGATAGTACCATTTCGTGCTTTCTCGTCAGTCACATACAAGCAACATGTTATTTGTGTAAATACAGTTTTGAAGATAAGGTCAAAATTTCTTATTTAGCATGACATTCACTCACTAGAACCATGGTAAACAAAGGTCAACATACAGTTGTTTTTGAACACATAAAGTTGGACTTTTACGACCAATCAAGATAGCTTCAAGTAGTTTTAGTGTGTGTGGGTTTTGATTACATGTCACAACTCTAAAGGCTGATTTTGGATCAATTTGATCACCACTCATCATTAGATGTTTTGCAATGGACGAGGCTGGGTTTCTTGATCGATTTTGAAATGATGGGCTAGGTTGATTAATCATGGATTTGATTAACCATTTTGGAATATGTTCCCCTATCCTGTCTTCCAATCGGCGATCTGTCCTCCCTAAATAACTTTCTCCGCAGTTACATGTGAATTGGTAAATACAGTGGGATTTGGACTGAATCGGTCTTGGAGACTTGATTGGGGTAACTGAGATCGATTGAGTTGTTGTGATAAGCCTCAGATTAGCTGCATTGAAGGTCTTTTTTATTGCAGCTGCAGTCTGTTTGGTTGTAATTTTCATGCAATGGTCACCTTTGAAAGGTAACTGTAGGTACACTGGTTTCTTGGGCACATCAGTTGCTATCAGCTTCGTCATAGTTGTGTTCTGATGACCAATAAACGTTTCAGGATATCCGTTTGATTTAAGTGTGTCAGTAATAAGCTTGAATTCGTCGTTCAATGTATCAGCAGTGCAGATTCTACTTGCTCGAGCGAATAAACTTTTGACAACAGAACGTTTATATTGTATGGGGCAGAAACTAGTGAAGTGGAGGTACTGTCCCGACCAGGTGGGTTTGCGGTGTACTTTTCGCCTGATTGATCCGTCTGGACGGCGATGGAGCAGGATATCGAGGAAGGCTAATTCATTATTCTTTTCTTCCTCATAAGTGACTTTCAGATTCGGGTGAATCGCATTAAATAAATCATTGATTTCATTAATGTCTGTAGAATGTGGTAATATGACAAGAATATCGTCGACATATCGTTTGTAAAGTGTAATACCATCGATGAAGTGACTCACTTGCCTTTCTATCATTCCCATGAATATGTTTGCTAAAACAGGTCCGAGAGGGCTTCCCATTGCCACTCCATCGATTTGTGTATATGCTTTACCTTGGAAATAGAATTTTATATTCTTTGTGCATAGCAAAATTAGATCTCGAAGATAGGTAGTAGGAATGGGTATTCTGATATTGTGTGAAGTTATGAAGTCACAAATAAATTCCACAGTTTCTTCGAGAGGTACATTTGTGAATAAAGAGTTTACATCGAAAGAACACATCCGACTATTAGAAATATTTAAGTGTTCCACAGTTGGGAGAAGTTCAAAGGAATCGAGGATAGTATGTGTCGACAGTTGTTTACAAACAGGATCCAAAATTTCTTTCAGCCACTTTGCTAGCTTATGGTATGGTGAATTTATCATGGAAAGAATTGGTCTCATAGGTGTTGTAGGCTTGTGTAGTTTCGGTAAGCCATACATTTGTGGTGTGCATGTACCAATGGGCTTGAGCATTTTATAATGGGCCTCGGTGATAAAACCATGAAGCATGAGTAGATGTAGTTCTCGGCATATCTGTTTTTCGACCAACTTCACGTTATCGACCTGTGAATCTGATTTAAATTTAGCTGAGTCTGAGAGGATCACGTTCATTTTCGTTATGTAGTCATCCTTATTCATGACTACTACACCGGAACCTTTGTCTGGTTTGGAGATTGTTATTGTGGGATTGTTCTTAAGTTCCTTCAATGCTTCCTCGTGCTCATTCGTTAGACAAGAATTTTGGTTGATAGGAGTGTTTGCAAATTGCTGGGATATATCAACTAATTTGACTTTGAGCCATGCCTCATTCTCAGCTGATGTTGGAGTCAAATTTGAGAACTGGCTGTAGAGGTTTTCGAAATTGGCATCCACCAAATTCTTATCGATTCTTTTAGGTGGTACATTGTTATTTAGTCCCATTGAAAGAGCTTCTAGGTGAACCTTGTCAAGATTGAAGTTAGATAGGTTGTGAACACGTTCTGTGAGATTTTCTGGAAATTCTGAAATCGTTCGGGTCTTTGATAGCGACTGGTTAAGTTTCGTCCATGTTCGGTTCGCCGTTCTGTCTAATATATCTTTGCAGAAGTTTAGTAGTTTAATATGACAAATGATGGATAATTGTTCAATAAGTGGTATGAAATGTGTGTAAGTTTCTTTGTATTGGTTTATTTTGTCAATGCAAGAATCAATCTGAATTCGTGTTAACTTCCTCAGACTCGAACTTGTTATTCGCACTTTATTTCGTCGAAGCATTTTGTTATAAATCCATGGGAATTGGTTGTCAATAATGCATTAATCAACCTAGCCCATCATTTCAAAATCGATCAAGAAACCCAGCCTCGTCCATTGCAAAACATCTAATGATGAGTGGTGATCAAATTGATCCAAAATCAGCCTTTAGAGTTGTGACATGTAATCAAAACCCACACACACTAAAACTACTTGAAGCTATCTTGATTGGTCGTAAAAGTCCAACTTTATGTGTTCATAAACAACTGTATGTTGACCTTTGTTTACCATGGTTCTAGTGAGTGAATGTCATGCTAAATAAGAAATTTTGACCTTATCTTCAAAACTGTATTTACACAAATAACATGTTGCTTGTATGCGACTGACGAGAAAGCACGAAATGGTACTATCTCACAAAATATGTCTTCTT